GACTTTAGAAAGTCATGGAACTGACGATGATTCAACCCGTTCAACTCTTTCGACTTAATGAAGATCATTATTTTATTATTTTGACGACCACTTTCATGACATGGTATATTTTCAGGGACTACGAACATATATTCTCCTAATGAATAATGCAATGAAAATTTAGCATTTAATTATTACCAATTTGGAGGACTCATTTTAAATAAATTTTACTAAACCTTTTTTTCCCCGAACCAATGCTTGGGTACCATCCATTATTAAGTGCGATAACTTGTTAAGTTGTAACGAAAAATCCTTCAATGAAAATGTGACTGCCTCTAAAAAATCGTGTGACTTAGTGGTGTCCTTAAGTGAATGCAGTGCCACCAATTCTTCTGCCTTATTAAAATTAACATCAACACCACTGACGAAAATTCACTGTTGGGAAGTATCTGCCAAATTTGTGCTTTCATCAATTGCTAGAGCATAAATATATAAACTAGGATGCTCGAATTTTTAAATTATCTTCAATATGATTTCCAATGTCGTCCACAGGACTAATAATAGTCTGACGAGTGACCTATTTTTGAGAAGTACTTCTTCTTTTCTGGTCACAGAATTTCAACGATGCTGTCCAAACATTCCATTTTACCATCTGAATTTCGATTTATAATTTTGCTAGTGTCATGGCTACTATATGCGAAATATTTCAAACAAAGCATTCATGATTCAATATTCTTTTACTGATATATGCAATAAAGTTAAAATGTATGTTCATTTTACCTAGTTCCACCGGCCAACCCTGCTTTAAATATACTATTAATAAGAAAATGCCGTTTAATTTAATCATTGTAGAAAAGTCCAAAGCAAAATAACAGTCACTTAGACACTTATCTCTCATCCAAATAAGAAGAGATAAGGTAAACTTCTTTTCTTGATACAAACAAATGAGAATGCCTTTTTATTGCTGTCACAGATAAAATATTGAGATAATAATTTTGTTTCAGATAATGTATTGCTTTTATTATGAGTTAGGAGAAACAGGAAGTTAATTAGATATTGGATGTCATGAGCGGGAGAGAACAAGGATAGAAGTAAAAAATGTAAGGTGCATATGTTAATTGAAGATCGGCTCTTTCTCATACATCTCATAGCATCGTTTTACTTATTTAATAAGATCTGTGTGAAAGTTATATGTGAGGTAATAAGACAATATCAATTATATTTTCTCCAATTTCGGAGATGTGCTTTATACAGTGTAAAGTGTAATTTCTTTTCTAATAAGTTGTGTGATGCTTAATTTATTGAATTTCCCTCTTGCATTTTTAATGTGGATAATCAATAACTATTAGTAACAACGTGACCATTACACGATCAATAAAATTGCATTGCACATTTTTAGCACATAAATAAACCAATTTGAACACGAGAATTAGCAATTTAGTGAATTATTCTAGCCATATCAAGGAAATTTTAGTTCTTACCAAGACTTGTGACATCAGGGGAAGCACGCTAAATGCAAACTTTCGGAGTCTTAGATTACATCTAAAAGTCTCTCCCTAGCCTGCAGCTTGTTAACATTAGGTAGATTGTATGTGAGAATGATACAGATTTGGGTGATCTTCCTAGGTCGTAATATGGCTTTAAAGTAATACAAAGTACTTCTTTGGTGGGTGTACAAGCTACATGTTTCACGGTATTGTTGTTGATGCTACATTAGTTTTTGTTAACATATATTGCCAATCCCCCTCCCTTGGATTTGCCACTGTCGGTTGTTCTATCGGCATGGAAAATGTTAAACTCGTCCATTGCAACTGCGGAATCTTGTAACTTTACGTTAAGCCATGTTACTGTCAGGCATATGAAAGAGCTTTCGCAAAATTGTTAGAAATGATTACAGCAACATCCAGTTCATCCATCTTGTTACATAGTGATCCAACGTTTCCAAAACAACTGGTGGAAGAACATACTACATGAAGTTACAATTGGTTTATTTTGAAATAAAAATCTAAAGACCAAATAATGTGAAAGATTTAAAATTCTGTATGGTCTTTAATGTTAAAAAACCACATTTAAAAATAAGGAATAAGCCTTGAAAAATTTCCCTTTTTAAAGAAAATATAAAACAATTTGTTGTCAAAAGGATCTGGGGCTGAAAAATTTTAATTCATTTCAGGGAAGTTTAAATTTGTATTTGCTACAATCCGTGGATAATTGTATTACTTTTTATTAAAATCTGGCCGGGGGTTGGGGGGGGGGGTTTATTGCTTTCATTTACCCCCGGGCAGCCCAATATTAGCCCCAGATAAAAGAAATGAATTTGATAAATTATTAATCCTCTTAGGTTCAACTGGGGCTGAAAAATTTTAATTCATTTCAGGGAAGTTTAAATTTGTATTTGCTACAATCCGTGGATAATTGTATTACTTTTTATTAAAATCTGGCCGGGGGTTGGGGGGGGGGGGTTAATGCTTTCATTTAGCCCCAGGCAGCACAATATTAGCCTCAGATAAAAGGAATGAATTTGATAAATTATTAATCCTCTTAGGTTCATACATATCGGGGGTAGAAATTAGAGTGAGTAAATTTTTAAGTGGATGCCAATAACTTTAAATCCAAATGATTTTACAATTGTAAAAAAGAGATGTTACATTCTCTTTTTACAAATAAATATGTCTACCAATTAAGAAAGTCAAGGACTTTAAAAACCGTTGGCACGTTTGCATAAGTATATCCATGAATATTAAAACCCATTCATTTTAGGGCAAATTATAATTAATACATTTGAATAATGCTAATCATAAATGGCGCAATCAAAAAGATATAAAATTAAAGTTATTGACTTACAGTATATTGATTAGCTCGTACCGGGGCAATGTTGAAGGAGATACAATGTTGTAAAATGTACAATGATGGGAATATACACACACGCAGTAAACAAATCTCTCGTCTGGTAGCAAAACAATAGCACACGCCTAAAATAGCTCTTGCCTCGCCTGGCCTTCTGTTGTTCAGTCTCTCGGCTTATATAGCATATTTCTTTAAAAAATTCGAGAAGGACTGCGCATTGTAATCGCTTCCGCTGATTCTACAATATTCAAGACAATTCGAATCATGATACAGACTATATATTTTAGCTATTTGTAGCCGAGGTCAAAGGGGGGCTTTATTAATATGCCACATCCTAATAATAGCGAAGCCGAACTTGGGGTCAGCTTAAAATCATTCACCAGAAAAGATGAATAAAAGTAAACGAGAGACATATAACATTATGTTATTTAATTAAAGCGCTTGAAAAATAACTTTATACAAGAAGCTTTTAATGTATTATTAATTAAATATGTGCTTTTTAAAATAATCCTTTTTTCAGAACACAGAAAAAATGATAACACATAAACCATATCATGGGCTTTGAATCTATCGGGCTAAGACTAATTAATATCTAGACACAAAGTTACATATATGATTACAACGCTTATTCAACACATACATTTGATATTAATATTATGTATTATTGCCTGTTTGAAGTAGGCCCTACATTAAATTTCAACTTTTTAAAATTTAGTCTGTATCATTTACTAGATGTAAATTTCAACGCTGTATAATCCAGTTCAAGCTATACGTTTTTCACCTTGACAATTTAACAATTCTTTAAAGTATTGCTTTTAAATTAAGTTATGAATAAAAGTCAAAACGTTCATGCAAAATACTCAGCAAGAAGGAGCAATAAATCGTGAATAACCTTCAACTCTACTGCACGGCGATGGATACACCATAACAACAAAAAAAAAAAAAACTTGTCATTTCCACTTACCAAAATACGTCACAACACTCTCTACATAATATATAGGGCTACACATATACTCTCTACACTAAACATCTTTTCATAACAAATATTTACTGTAACCTCAAACATAACAACAGTGATTCTCATACCCTTGACACTTATATCATGCATTAGTTGAACAAATAATTCAACGCAAAAATTGGTCCAATAATTATGTATGAGCTCGGCATTTTGTTGCAGTTTTCTCTTGTAAAATAGCACTTTTTTTAGCGACGAGGATGATGAGAGATAATGCACTAACTAATGTCTATTTCTGCAATTTCTTTATCCTTTATAGAAAACAATGTTATCTCTACTTATCCACATATTTACAAATACATATTAGCTAATTATACAACGTAGGATGTGTTTGTCAAACGGAGTTTCCTTAACATTTTTGACTTCTTAGTATATGTGTGTTATTCTCAAGCCAGTAACATTTTTACATAAGCTACAACTCCGACACCACAATAATTAGTAAACAGTATTTGCTGTGTGGTGCTGATATGGCAATTATAACAGATAAACTGTCGATCTCATAGGTAATCGTAGAGGCCATTGTTTATGTTGGTTATTTTTCCAAATAAATTAATATAAATAAACAATATTGACATACGTTAAAGTTATTGAAACACATTTGCTAAACTGTTATTCATTGTTCCATTTGAACTATTGTCGATTCACGTTTAAGTTAAAAAAAGGTCAATTGCTCTATATCCCAAACCCTTATAAATATCGCGTAAGCCCTGCCTTCCAGAAAAGACTTATGACGTTTTGTTTACATTTCTCGGGTTATCGAGCACATTCAAGAAAATACTAGGAGAGAGTCTAACATGCTTAATTGGTAAACACGGTTGTTAACATGATACATCAAACGAATAGGCCACGCCCAAAACAGACGTTACTGTCTGCTAGGATTCTCATTTACGTCAATTAAAGTTCACGCACGGAAAAAGTGTGCTACATAACAATGTTTTTATATTTAAGTTATTGCGTGTAATATTCATCAATTAAGTCATCTTATTTTTTGGTTACACTTTAACCCGTAACATATAATTTTAGGTTGATTTGTTTTTTTATTTGAATCTGGTCTTCGATGAATAATGAATTCAAAAAAGATGAAATTAAGTTGAATGTAAATTTAAGACGTAAAATTGTTTTTAAAAACAAAGAATGAAGACACTACATATAAAAATATTTTATTTTCTAATGAGTAAAGATATTATAAGTACATCTAAATTCTAAAAGTATTATGGGGAAAAAAAATAAGTAAACATTCAAATTTAAAACTTTCTGTATTTCATCAAATTTAAATAATAATTACTTTTTAAAATGTAATAACTATTTTAATTAAATGAATACAAATATAATAATAAATAATTTAATAATTTTCGAAAAACTACTTTGGTAACACTCAAAACAGAAACAAATTTTCCACTTCGTTACGTTGGTGGTAATGTGGTAAATAATTATTTACGTTTCTGCATCAGTAAAGAAATCTTTTGCCAAAATTTATAAGATAATCAAATAAGTTTACACAGGAAGGGGTCTAAGCAATTATAGAATTACCATAAACGACCATTAAAATAATAATGAAAACCTGTATACTTTGAAGTCTATATTGTAATGTGAAATTTCTAAGGAATTTACCAAAAAAATAATCAATCTTCTTAATAATCTGGTCACTAAGAAAAAACATTTAACGGTCACAATGTTCTTTTCACGATTCTTAGATTCTTATTCTTCTAGCTTCCTCTTCTTCTTCTTCTTCTTTTTTCCTTTTTATCTCTAACGAATCCTTTTTTGCTTCTTTCCTCCTGCACCCTTTTCTTCTCCTCTTATTTCCTCCTTTTCATTTCATCTAATCTTTTGATCTCAAGTCGCCTATCCTCCTCTGCTATTTGTCTCCTCCTTTATTCATCTTCTCGAAGAAATTGTAGTCTGCGCTTTTCATCTTCTTTTTCCCTTTTGATTATCATAGCTTTCTATTCCTCTTTCTTTCTTTTCTCCATCTCTTCTTGCTCTTTTCTCAGTATCTCCATTGCTTCTGTTCTTTTCTTTTCATCTAATTGTAGTTGTTGGATTCTCTTTTCTTCCTCTCTTATCCTTTGGAAATTTTCTTCTGCCCTTTTTCTATCTTCTTGCTCTCTTTGTTTACTGCTATCCTCCTCCTCTTTCTTTATTTTTAACATCCGCTCTTTCTCTTCATGTTTTCTTATAATCCTCCTCTCTTTCTCTTCTCTTTTCATCCGCAAGTCTTCTTCTTCTTTTCTTTTATTTAATTCTTCTGTTGTTCTCTGAGCTCTTCTTTTTCTTGTTCTTTCCTCTTTAATTCTGATTCCCTGTCCCTTTTTTGTGTTTCTTCCCATTTCAATTTTTGTGTTCTTTCTCTAATACACCTTGTGAATGTTTTATTTTATCTTGAATTAAATTATTCATTTCACGTATATCATTTATCATTTCATGAAGAGCTCCAGTCCCTTTGTCTTCTTCAGAGATTTTATTAAACAAAAGTTTAACTTTGTTCAAAATCTCATTTAGTTTATCCATTTTTGCATTGTGGTCAACAGTGCAATCAATATTATGCAGTGCGTTTGAAATTAGACACGTTTCTTTCAAGAATGTTTCTTTTAAAAATGGTATTTTAGCTTGAACCATCAATTTCTCCCGGGAGCATTGTGCCTGAGAAAAATTCGCATCTTTGTAGCGATTGCCACGTGAAATTAAGTTGTTAACTATTTCTATAAGCTTAGTCAGTTGGTCAATTTGTTTAAACTCGTCTTTTGAATTATTATTAAAAAGAACAATTCTTCCATCACATTCATTAAAAAGTTCGGAAAGAAAACCAATTTGCATAGCACACCATTCCTGAAAGGTTAAACCTGTTTCTTCACTATCAATTTCATAAAGGTCACCATTGGTCATAACTAATATACAATAATTCTTAACGAAACTTTCTCCAAAAGTTTTCTTTAAAACAGCGATTGTATCTTGATCATCTGCAGTGAATCTTTGTCCAAATTTAATGACAAGCAGAAACGCATGATATCCCCTTGGGTTGGCAGTTAGTGCGTACTGCATGGCTTTTATGAAATGTTTTGTAGCTCTCTTATAATCCATTCCAACATCATAAGGAGGAGGACTATCAACAACCTTGATGACAAGTCCGTTAAATTCACAAAATTCAAAAGCGATCTTTTTGGTTATAGTAGAATTGGAACATGTACAGTTAAAAGCTCTGCGTCTTAAAATTGCATTCCCTAATGCACTCTTGCCATTTCCAGTTTTCCCAATCATGAGAAGGTCAATATCAGCCATATCAGTTAAAGAAGCGTCTTGATTATTTGTCAAGATGTTACCTTTAGTAGATAAATCAGTTGTAGAACTTTTATTTTCTTCTCCTTTTTGGGGGTATGTAGCACTTTCATCCATGCTTTGACTGCAGAGTTAAAAAGAACCACAGTTGTTATTTCAGGTAACTTATTTAGTCCAAACTATTCTTTTTACAAAACTTTGGCTTCTTTCTGTAACATAATGAAGGTAAAGAGATTTAAAACTGTCTATTTAAACAGCATTTATAAAAATAACTAGCAAAATACCCGCGCTTCGCAGCAGAGAGCCTTTTTTTTTAAAAAAGGGTACGAAATTATCAAATATTTGCATATTCCGGAGACTATACAATGCATTTCCTTGCGAAAATCAAACCTGCCTCAAATCAATGCCAACTTCTTGTTGGGTCTGTCCTTGGGACCCCTATCCTGGTAAGACCACAATTCTAATGAGTTCCTAAGCACATTCTGAACCCGATCCCGGTGCAATCCCTGTTCCCGGTTTTATCCCGTTCCGGTGGAATCCTATTTCTTTGTGGCTCCTGATCCAGGGGGAATCCAGATCCCGTTGGGATCCCTAACCTTGTGTTTCTCTATGGGACCATGCTCGGTGTGATTTTGTTTGAATAAGCATTTAGGTTTTAATAATATATCCCCGTAGAACAATATTGAGCTTTCTACATTAAATTTAATATCCTCCATGAAACGTGTAAAAATTACATATCTAAATAATTATTTCTCGAATACGAAATATAATACAACTAAATTGTGCCACTAACTAAAATACATTTAAATTGATATGGGGGCCCCGTTGGGGGCCCATTTAATAAAGTACCGTTTTGATTATGTCTGAGATGGAAGGGGGCCCTATAAAAATCATTGAGATAAATTATACATTTAAAACTTGTCCTATTGAAATGGATTTACAAATGCCATAGACATAGCTTTTATGATCTATCGAAGTTTCTAGAAAATTCTAGATCGGCCTTGAATGGATTGGATAATAAATCAAACGATATTTTAAAACGAATTAAGAAGCGTATTGCTACAAAGCAAGGTCTAGATCCACCTAATCACATAGAACCTATGGTATTGATATCTATATCGCCTTATATTAGAAAAAAAGAAATGGGGCACCCGTCCTCAGAGGTATGGATATTATGAGTTCAGTGCTCTTCATTATTTGAATATAGATAATCAAGATTATGTGTATTAAGTTTGGTCAATATCATTCCAGATTGTGACCGTTCCAAGTAGAGTTTCTAAATAACAACCTGCTTATCTTTTGTAGGTAAGCTGTAAGGAATAAGCCTGCCAAATTGTAACCTTCTATCTTCAGGGAAAGTTGGAGATAATAGCTCAAATAAGGAAAACAGAAATGGGGCCGCAGCCCAAGATGGATGATTATTATTTGTTCATTACACTTCGTTATTTGAACATAAATAATCAAGAGTATATGTTCTAAGTTTGGTCAAGATCCATCTGTTCATGTAGGAGTGCTAAGCCGAATAAAGATATAGAAGAAGAAGAAAGGCAAAGCCCTCACTGACTCCTCACTAATTCTCCAACTTCCCAGTAGATAGCAGCCTGAAATTTATCAGGCTTATTCCTTACGGCTCACTTACAAAAGTTAAGCATGTTTCATTTCCAAACTCTATACCGTTTGGGGCCCGGTGGCCCAAAATGTCATTTTTTCCTATATGGGCTATATGAATAAAATGATCAACAAATACTGCTACATGAGTTGTTGGATCTTGACTGAATATACATACATTTGATTATCCATAATCATATACCGAAAGGTACTTAACACCTAATATCCATCCTTCTGGGGCCGGGGGCCCCATTTAATTTTTCCTTACATAAACATTTAAATATCAATAGGCTTAGTACTCCGACATGAATGGATAGCCGCCTGAAAATTGGCAGGCTTATTTTTTATGGCTTATTTACAAATGATAAGGAGGTTTCATTTCAAAACTATATACCGTTTGGGGTCGGGGGCCAAAAATGTCATTTTTCTCTATATGACCTTAGTAAATAAAATGACCAACAAATACTGCTACATGAAGAGATGGATCTCGACCATACTTAATATACATATATTTTATTATCCACATTCAAATACTGAAGGGTACTTAGAACATAATAACCATCCCTCTGAGGCCGATGGCCCCATTATTTTTTCCTTATATAAGCTTTATTAATGTCAATATGCTTAGTAATATTATGAGTTCAGTACTCTTCATTATTTTAATATGGATAATCATGAGTATGTGTACTGAGTTTAGGCAAGATCCATCTATTCCTGTAGGAGTTATACGACTATTCATATTTATTTAGCTTGTATAAGGAACAGTGGAAAGGGGCAATGGCCCCAGAGTGTTTGTTATTAATGTGTTAAGAAACCTTCGGTATTTGAATATGGATAATCAAATGTATGTATATTAAGTTTAGTACAGATACATATATTCATGTAGTTGTATTTGTTGATCATTTTATTTATATAGCTAATATAGGAAAAAAAATGACATTTTGGGCCCCCGGCCCTAAACGGAATAGAGTTTCGAAAAGGAACCTGCTTAACTTTTGTAAATAAGCCGTAAGGAATAAGCAGGCCGAATTTCAGGCTTCAATCTACAGGGGAAATTGGAGAATTAGTGATGAGTCAGTGAGGGCTTTGCCTTTTATTAGTATAGATAAGAAAATAAGAAACGAGACCCCCGGTCCCAGATTGATGGATGTATGCGTTTAGTACCCTTCGGTATTTGAATATGGATAATCAAATAAATGTAAATTAGGTTTGGTCAAGATCCAACTATTCATGGAGCAGTATTTGTTGTTTATTTTATTTATGTAGATCATAAAAGAAAAAACAAACGAATTTGGGGCCCCCAGTTGCTACCATTCGGGGCTGTATTTCGAAATTAAAACTGTTTATCTTTTGTAAGTAAAGTAAGTGTAAGTAAAAAGCCTGCCGAATTTCAGGCTTCTATCTACAGCGGAAATTGGAAAAATAGAATATATAAGAAAAAATGAAATAGTGCCCCCAGCCCCAGAGGTATAGATATTATGAGCTTAGTACCATTCGGTATTTGAATATGGATAATCAAGAGTATGAGTACTAATTTTAGTCAAGATAAATCCATTCATTTAAGAGTACTAAGCCTATTGATACTTATAAAACATATATAAGAAAAAAATAAATGGGCCCCTCTGTCACAGAGGGATGTATATAATGTGTTAAACCCTTCGGAATTTGAATATGGATAATCAAATATATGGATATTACGTTTGTTCAAATCCATTTATTCATGTAGGAGTATAGTTGATCATTTATTTATAAAACTCATATTGGAAAAAAGGAGATTTTGGACCCCGGGCCACAAACGGTATATAGTTTCGAAATGAATCCTGCTTAACTTTTGTAAGCAAGCGGAAAGGAAAAAACATGCCAAATTTCAGGCTTCTATCTACAGAATATGTTGGACAATGAATAATCAGTGTGTGAGTGAGTGAGTGATGGCTTTGCCTTTAATTAGTATAGATGAGAAAGAAACAAAACGAAATCGGGGCCCCCAGTTGTGACAGTTCTGGGTAGAGTTTCGAAATTAAACCTGTTTAACTGTTGTAAGTAAGCTGTAAGGAAAAAACATGAAAAATTTCAGGCTCCTATCTACAGGGGAAATTGGAGAATTTGTTATGAGTGAGTGAGGGCTTTGCCTTTTATTAGTATAGGTAAGAAAAAAATGATATGGGGCCCTCGGCCGCAGAGGTATTAATATTATGAGTTAAGTAACCTTTGGTATTTGAATATTGATAATCAAGAGTGTGTGTACTAAGTTTAGTCAAGATCCATCTATTCGTGTAGGAATACTAAGCATTTTGATATTTATAATGCTTCAATAAGGAAAAATGAAATGGGTCTCACGGCCCAGAGGGAATGATATAATGCGTTAAGTACTCTTCGGTATTTGAGTATCGATGTTCAAATGTATGTATATTAAGTTTGGTAAAGATCTGATATTCATATACCAGTATTTTTTATGTATAAAGCTCATGTAGGTAAAAGTGACATTTTGGGCCCACGGCCCCAAATGGTATACAGTTTCGAAATTAAACCTGCTTAACTGTTGTAAGAAAGACAAAAGAAATAAGCCGGCCAAATTTCAGGCTTCTATCTACAGGGAAAGTGAAAGAATTAGTGATGAGTAAGTGAGGACTTTGCCTTTTATTAGTATAGATAACAGTGACTTCTTTTGTATACTTGATCTTAGTTTTGGATATTGAATAAGTATTTAACTATAAAATAAGCTTATGTTTATTTTTTTTAAACAGCTGGTATCTATCTATCTATCTCACAGGCGCACTATCTCACAGGCTCACTATCTCACAGGCTCACTATCTCACAGGCTCACTATCTCACAGGCTCACTATCTCACAGGCTCACTATCTCACAGGCTCACTATCTCACAGGCTCACTATCTCACAGGCTCACTATCTCAC